TCTTAAAATGGGTTCTTAATCCTGGAGAAAAAGTAGTTAGTATGCTTTGTAAGTCTACATAATTATCTTGCACTCATTTTTCTTTAAAAAACAATTTTACAACAATGGCAATCTGCTTTTTTTGCTTCAAATATGATTCTTGCAAAGCAGCTGTAATGTACTAGTATAATTTTAGAAAATAAGAACCTGTTTTATATTTCTTAGGCTAAATAGGCTCTTGTTTATAGGGGGTATAAATGACCAATTTTAGGCTAACCGGTTCTTAATTTTTAGGTTCTTAATTGTGGGTTTTTACTGTATACGCTGATCGAGTACATGTACAATGGGTTATAGCCTGTTCCAGGCGTTCAGATAGTAGAGCGCGGCGGTCAGTGGGAAGCGAGTTAAATTGTACACGGGGAAAACGGGGAGGGGGGGCGATGGGGGGCGAGAGCGAGAGAACTCGCCCCCCCGTTTTCCCGGTGTACAATTTAACTCGCTCCCTCTGACCGCCGCGCTTTACTATCTGAACGCCTGGACCAGGCTAAATGAGTTATCACAGTTTATGGGCTCCTGGTCAGGTAGATCAAGTATAATCTTTCAACCTCGTCCCCAGGGCGCTTTTCCCTGGCTTCAGCGCCCTGGGGACGAGGTTGGTAATCTTCAGGCAGAAGCAATCGGCAATTAGGCTAAGCAGAGGAATTCTACATATGGGTGCGGTGTGCGGCAACAACTCAGTTATAATTGGACACCGCCGCGTTCAAATATTAAAATGGCAGCCAAAAAACTCGAGTCACTCATGCTATAGCTCGAATAAGGATATATTAAAGCATAATAAATTTGTATCAGCATATTCAAATATTTATGTAATATTTAGCAATGTGTATCCATTTTTACGGATGGTATTGAATGATGTTGGACAATTTTGGAGCAGGTTTGAGTTTCATTTACCGCTGGCTGCAATGAACTTTAAACCCGTCCATAAGGGTCACACTTAAACTGCGAAAGAACGCTAATCTTTCACGGCTCACTCTCCCGCATTTGATCTTCGACTCTCGCGATTTTTCTTCTAGAACTAGGGAAGCCTGTCCGGGCCCCAAAGCTAGCCACCCACGCATGCGTTTAAAGGGAGTCGTATTTGCTCTTACGAGAAACGTCTTGGTGGAAGGCTACCTCAAAGCCGTCGCGCATGTCTCGAAATGGTCTTTGCTTGCCAAAAAAAGGGTGAAATAACGTCTGTTTCAACCTGTTCAGCAGACTTGACTGTGCGATCGAACCATGTCGCCACATGTTGGCCTGGTTTCAAAAGCTTTGTCTCAGCGTAACGCAGCCTCTGGAACGTGATAACGTTGGATGCTGCAAGCACGATTTCAAAAAATTTTTATTCAATGCATTTTTGAACTTAAAAAAAAAAAATTTGCTCTGCATCAACAGTGGATCAGTAGCCTCATAAGAGGGTCTCAATGGGGTTAACCGATAGGCGTAAAACGGCCAAAAATTTAGTCGATAGCCGTAAAAATTGAAAAATTTTAACCGTTAGCCGTAAATTGGGTAAAAAAGAGTTAACCGTAAAAGAAATTGTCCCCTAGATTTGTTAATTTTATGGAAGGTGCTTAACTCGCTTATGGTTGCGTTTTTTATTTTCCGGCTACTTTGACTCCGTACGCACGTTAGGCGAAAAGGCTTTTAGGTGTATCTCGGGGAACTAATTTTTCCTATAGCGAAAGAGGGCTTCTCACTGGGAATTAATATTTGCGATTTTCAGAAGGTCGTGCCTTCGAAACACTAGTGAAACAACACGCAGAGCTGTTTGTAAAACACGTTGCCGATAAACAATATTTTCCTGTTTTTCTCTGACGCTACGGTAGACATTGCCATGCCTAGTCCCTGCATGTACGGCATCTTCCCACGCAATCTCGGTCAAGGCATTTCGGTGGCTAACTCGCTCTGACCACGTGACCCGAAACGCATTAGCCGCGCGGAATAATGAGGTCTACGGACAAGGCAACAACAGGCAGTCGTTTTGTACAGTCCTTCGCTATGATTAAAAACACTGGACACGGGAATTTTGTTATTGGCCGTTTTCACAGCACAGCTAGAAAGGGATTATCCAGACTCGCCTGTGTACAGTCGCCCCCTCCTCCACATTGTTAGACACCCCTTCTCCGATTTTTTCTGCGGGGAGGTTGCGGCTGTACACAGGCTCAGTCTGTAACGGATAATCCATCTTCCGTACTTCAAAATTGACGGATAAAGTCGGGGGGGTCGTTCATTTCAAAATTAAAACTATTCCATTTTCAAATTGAGACGTGTTACCTATCTGACGTGAATCATCAAACGGATAACCCGTCTCAAACGAAAAAGCCGTCTCTAGTGTGGAATGTCGCGCCCCGGCCTTGAGTTGGGCGTTCGCGTGTCTGCTCACTATTGGCATTTCTATGTGTAAAATGATTTTAGAAGTGGAATACTTTATAAAAGTATATTGATCTATCAAACGTGAAAATTTTTCAATAGAATAGCTTATTTTATCCCGAGATGATCCAAAGGCCTTTATTTTGCTTTAAAGATACAAAAAATACAGGTTAATTAATATTTAACTTTTTGAAACAAAAGAAATTAATTTTTAACTTTTTTGTTAACCGTAACTGCAAAAAATTAACCGATAGCCGTAAAAGAGCCAAAATTTTAGCCGATAACCGTAAAAGACACCACCCCATTGAGACCCTCTCATAATGCCATTGTTATGTCGTCATGACGACGTACTGTAATGACTGATAATATGTAAGGACAGGAGCTAATGAAGATCGACTTTAAAAGAATCGTTTCTTTGTTTTTTTGATGAACAGGTTTTATGAAGGTGTTAATACTCGGTGGTTGCTATGTAACAAATAAACCTGTAATAACAACCATTATTGCATTTGCTTTCTTCGCTCAAGAGACGTTACCTTCTCTTTGAAGAACAAGATCGCAGTTCAAACGTTAACTTTAAATCCCTTTTTGTTGCAATATCATTCCTTTAAATCAAAATGGTAAGTTTAACGTTTCGTTTTCTATATGAATTGAGATAAGTTAATTCACCAAAAGAGATTGAGCTAGTGCGCCGCTTCATGAACTTTCAACACTTCTAAAATGGCCTTCATGAACACACCTGATAACTCTGCTGTGCTCTGCAGTAGAACTCTGCAGTAATTTTTACATTTCCCATTACCAATGAAAACCACGATTTGACAATTCCTGGACAAGCTTAATTTGGTTTTAGGTTTGGTTTTCTCCACTTGAGTGAAAAGAAATTATTTTGGCGCCTGATTACAGAAAACCCTGATTTGTATTTCAGATATTTTGCCCCAAATTAAGCCGTAGCTGGGCTTAAAAGGAAATCATAGCCAACAACCAAGAACATAGATATGTTTGGTTGAGTTCACAGACAATTTTTCTCAGTCATTTTGGAATAGAATCCAGTAGAAATATGCTAATTTACATTATGGTTTAACAACTGATCCGAATTTTAAACGTGAACTGGTATTAACAGTTCCCTCATCAGGATTCAAATCTCACAATTATTTACCGTTTGAGTAAAAAAAGAAGAAAATGGCTCCTTACAAACAGTTTCAATGTGGTAGAATTAAAGAGTTCTCTAGAATATACTCAGTTTTGATTTACTGGATGACTTTCACTTCAGCGCGAGTGTATTTCTGTCCACGTTGGTCAAGCCGGAGTTCAAATTGGAAATGCTTGTTGGGAGTTGTACTGCTTAGAGCATGGAATTCAACCTGATGGCCAGATGCCGAGCGACAAAACCATCGGCGGAGGAGATGATTCCTTCAACACTTTCTTCAGTGAAACTGGAGCGGGAAAACATGTTCCTCGCGCTGTGTTTGTTGATTTGGAACCCACAGTTGTTGGTAAGCGTGCGGTGTGTTCTCGAAAGTTTCATATGTTTTCTGAAAATACTTTCAAAATTTTAGCCTTAGGTTAATTCAGTGATATTTTGAAATAGATATCCACTTTAAGAGGTCAAGTGGCTTTCAAGGCCACCGAGTTTTTGCTGTTGACAGCTGTTGCTATGGCCGATTTGTTGCGAAACCTAAGCAACAACAGTAAACAAACAGACCGGTGGACCGTTATACACTGTTTCTAAGAACAGCTAATGTGGAAATTTCTCAAGTGATTTTCTTATCTAAGTGAAGAAAACTAATAAACATCCTATAAAATTTTTTCTTACAGATGAGGTGCGCACAGGTACCTACAGACAGCTGTTTCACCCAGAACAGTTGATAACCGGCAAAGAAGATGCCGCTAACAACTATGCTCGCGGGCATTACACTGTTGGAAAGGAGCTCATTGATATTGTTTTGGACAGGATCAGAAAACTGGTTAGTGAACTATGAAGGCCATTTTCCTTCAGTCTCATCACAAGCTGTTGTATGAAAGTTAGTAATCCCTCTCACCTTTGTTCACTTAAACAGGCAGATCAATGCACTGGCTTGCAAGGATTCCTTATCTTCCACTCCTTTGGTGGAGGTACTGGTTCTGGCTTTACATCTCTGCTCATGGAGCGTCTGTCTGTCGACTATGGCAAAAAATCCAAATTGGAGTTTGCTATCTACCCAGCACCTCAGATTGCAACAGCAGTGGTTGAACCTTACAACTCTATTCTGACCACTCATACCACCTTGGAACATTCTGACTGTGCCTTTATGGTGGATAATGAAGCTATTTATGACATCTGTCGTCGTAACTTGGACATAGAAAGGCCAACTTACACCAACCTGAACCGTCTGATTGGTCAAATCGTATCCTCCATAACTGCTTCACTGCGCTTTGATGGTGCACTGAATGTCGACTTGACTGAATTCCAGGTAGCTATAACTTACGAGTTAAATTATTTCTTAGTTCCTTGTTCTAATAAGTGTTAATATCATCCATTCAAAAATATTTCTCTGTTTCTGACTGGCTCTTTTCCCCGGCTAATTCTTGAGAGCGAGCTGGCACCGATCAAAATTTCAATTATTCCATCACCTGAAGTTTGTCACAGACATCAATGGGAACGAGGTTGCAAAGCATTTTTTCACGATCGGCGTCGCGAAAGACAGCGTTGTTGCAAATAAATTCACGGCTATATGTAAAGACGAAATCATCGACCAAAAGTGACAGCAAAAATAAGTAAAAGTACCGCCTGGTAAATATGAACTGCCTTCGCAGAATCTGTAAGATGACACAAGTTTATAATCTGTGGAGGAAGAAATCACAAAAGGTTGGATGTCTTGATTTAGTAAGAAAGTATAAAAAGCAGAAAAAGTAAAGAGAATAGTGGAAAGAATTCTACTTTTGATAGGACTTGATTTTTAAGTTGTTGCCTTGTTGTAATTTATTACAGACCAACTTGGTTCCATATCCACGTATTCACTTCCCACTGGTCACTTACGCTCCAGTTATCTCTGCTGAAAAAGCCTACCATGAACAGTTGAGTGTTGCTGAAATCACCAATGCCTGTTTTGAGCCATCCAATCAGATGGTGAAATGTGACCCACGTCACGGTAAATACATGGCTTGCTGTCTGCTGTACCGTGGTGATGTGGTACCCAAGGATGTGAATGCAGCTATTGCGACAATCAAGACCAAGAGAACCATTCAGTTTGTAGACTGGTGTCCAACTGGCTTCAAGGTTGGTAAAGCCGTCTTAATTTTTTTTGAAATCAGTTTGCGTATTCGTATATGTTTCACATCCGTGACACGGAAGCTGCTCTTAGCTTTAACACACCTTAAAACTTAAGCTAGAAAAAGGCATGTTGTAATCAATTTTTTCAATCAATTTATTTTTCAGGTGGGCATCAACTACCAGCCTCCCACAGTTGTTCCTGGTGGTGACTTGGCCAAGGTTCAGCGTGCTGTTTGTATGTTGAGTAACACCACAGCTATTGCTGAGGCCTGGGCCCGTCTGGATCACAAGTTTGATCTGATGTATGCCAAGCGTGCTTTTGTCCATTGGTATGTGGGTGAGGGTATGGAGGAAGGAGAGTTCTCTGAGGCTCGTGAAGATTTGGCTGC